GCTGCCTGTAATAGTGATCTTTCTTGCCTGTCCAGCTTTTCCTGGTGGGTTCTTTCTAGGAACACCCTCTGCTCTTCAGTATTGTTTCTTTGACATATCTTTGCATCTGGCATACAGCTAGAACAGCTTTTTTGCCAGGGCCATATATTAATGACCTGAAATGTTTAAGTGTCTCAAAAATAAACCTACTAGTGCACTCTCTGTGCCAAAGAGATGCTGGAAGCACCTTTTGGGCAGCTTTCTAAACTTTGTTCTGGCCGTGTGCAAACATCACGGACACTTTGGGTGGAAAGGCCACTTGCAAAGCAGAAGCACGAGCATTGAAACCTCCCTTCTCGGGAAGGTGAAAGCTAAGGACAGAGCAGTCAGTGAAGCCAGGAAGCTGCAGGGACAGCCAAGGTAACAGCTGAGCTGCTAAAGGCCAATGAGACAATTGTCAACAGAGCATTAGGACAATTGCAAATGATACAAAGAAAAAAGGAGGTATTGGAATACTGGCCAATTGTTAACAATTTGAAGAAGAGAGATTGCAGTGACCAAATGCTTTAGAGAGGTGAGTTTGCTGCAGGACCATGGTGAAAGCAGCTGCCAAAGGACTGGGAGGTGGAATGTTAGGAAGAGATGAAGTTAGAAGGAAAATGGGATGTAAAATTCAGGAAAGGGACAGTTGAAGTGAAGGCAGACGGTAGGGGGGACCCGGCAGGAGACATGGGGATGACAGAGTGCCAGGGAAATCCTGCCAGCACACCCAAGGTCAGCCCAACCTACAGGCCAACTGCCAAGTGGATGGCAGCACGTTGGAGGCAGGGTTACGGCCATGCAGGGTTTGAAGGAGGTACAGGTGTAGGATGGCAGAGAATGGCACGTCTGTGAGGTCCTTGTCCAGGAATACGTTCTGGGATGTAGTATGCAGATTTAGGAAACTTGCACTACTAAGAGGCAAATGAAAGCTTTTCTCTAAAAGCAGCCCTGGAAATGCTGGACAGTGTGCTCATGCTGAAGATGCGCTCTGCACTGCTAGCTCCTGGGGAGAAAACTTGTGCTTAGGGTACCAACTGTGCACTGGTGGGTTTTGGCTTCAAATTCCTTCTGTGACCTTGTGCAAATCAATATAATCTAAAATCTAGCTGAAGACCGCATCCATACCTTTGTGCTTACTTCCAGTTCCAAAAATGATCATTTAATGTCTGCTAATTTCAGTGCACAGTGAACTTCAATTAGAAAAGGTGGTTAGGATGATAAATGTGGGTCTGGACATCTATTAGGGTTTCCAAATGCACCTTGAATACCAAGCTGTATTGACACCAGTGAAGATCCTGGAGGTCTTTAGAGACCCTCTGTGTCTTTAGATCTCCAGTATCATCAGAACCCAACCCACTCAGTGCCCTGCATCCTTCCTCCTGTAAAACAAGGTCACTACACAAAGAGTATGGATGTTGGGTACATCTGCTAGTAGCACTGTGTTGTGGGGTTATTTTAAATGAACGGAGGGAGGACTTGGGTCCAGGAGGACAGTAACCCTAATCCGCAGACATCTTACAGCTATGTAATGTCATGCACAAAGCAGGTGGATGGGATGGGTTTAGCTCCCAGAGGGGAGGTACTGTCAATGATGGGCATTTTTCTTGAAAGAAAACCCGTAGACCTGTTTGCGGTGGGGCTGAGGGTTGGGGCAGGTGAAGCGGGGCGTGCATGCACTGTAACGTGGTCGTTACCCCAGCGCCTGCGCTCAGTGGACATGTGCTTCCTTGCAAATTGTGGCTTGCACAAGGCAGCTCTTGTAGAGATCAGAAGCCGGAGCGTGAATCGGGGGAACCTGACTGGAGGATGCCCCATGGGGGAGGCTGGGACCCTACCACAGCCTCGTTACCGCTGACCTTGGCACGAGCGCTGCCTGCTGATGGATCGGCTGCGGAGCTGGACAAGACCCTGGGGAACCACTGTATTATCTATTATCGTCCCATCAGTGCCTCCCCTGACCCCTCCCAGCTCCAAATGCCAGAGGCATCAGGGAGGGAATAAATCTCTGTCTGATACTGAGAGAGAGAAGGGAGCGAGAGCAGGAAAAAGGAGAGATGAAAAATGTCCTTTTTATGACTCTCACAACAAAGCTGGCCACATGATTCGTAGCAAACATTTCTGTGGGAAAAGGGGAGGGAAAGAATGAGGGGGAATCAGCAAAAAAGCAGAGCTGCTTCTCTCCCCTGGAAGATGCCCACGGGGAATTGAGAGAGGGGTATGGGTGACCTTTGAAGGTAAATATCCCAGGAAAGGAAAGAGGCCGCAAAGCTTCACAAAGCTCACTCCAAAGTCTGACGCTGCCTTGTGAAATGCTCCATGCAGCACATGTCCACCATGAACGGAAAGCAGAGGCATAAGCGATCTGCCGTGCTAGAGGGAACAGCAGGGCCAGGGTGTGATTAATAAGGCACTAATAGCAACCGCAGCATTTGTGTTCATTTCTATTTGGGATGATCCAGGAGAGCTCGTACTTATGAGCCTGGGGAGAACTCCTGACCTTGGTGTCTTTAGGAGACAGAAGCCTTTAGCAGGGCAGCTCAGGGCCTGAGAAGGGGCTGGAGATACATTGGCTGTGCTTGAGAAGCCCCCTGCATGTTACCCATGACAGCTGCGAGACAGCAAACATGTTCCTCTGACAGCTGCTGAGCTGCTCGGGCTTATAACCCCCTGTGCTGCGGGTCCCGGGGAGGCGGCCAGCCCCGGGGCTGCGTGCTGGCACTAGCTGCAATTCCAGCTGCGCCGCAGAGCTACAACAGGGCTGCGGGTACGCGCTGGCAGGGTCTGCGTTGGCGCTCTGGGGATTGTCCCAGAGCATTGCCGTCATCAGGCAGGGTGGCTGCAGCGACTTCCAGCGCGATGGGAAGGCACCTTTGCTCTCTGGCTTTCTCAGCCGCACCGTCTGTGCTGTGCCTCGGGCGAGGGAACGACGGGCAGGCTCTGTTCTTGTTGAAAAACTTCACTGCACCAGAGATGTTTATCAAAGTGGACATTTCTAAAGGCAAGCAAAGTGCTTGGAGTCATGGAAAAAGAACGTATGCCACCGTTCTCTTCTGTCCCCAGACAAGCATGTATCTTAGTTGCCAGTGCCTTCCCAATTAGCAGCACTAAGAATACAGTCGTACGGGGCTTAGAGTCGAAAAGCAGAAGCAACTGAAGTCCACTGACAACCAAGTCATGTTTTTAACAGGGCAGATATTGCTGGACTTGGTCAGCTGTGGCTGAGGACAGGCTCGGGCTGGGGAGTGCTCACCAAAGCTAATATCCTTAACTTGCCAGTCATGGAAAAGTGTGTTAAATTCCCACTTTTACCAAAATTGCTGTAACGACTCCTTGGTAATCCCAGTAATTTGATTTTGTCTATAACGTGCTTTTAAAGTAAAGGGATAAATACAATCAGTCTGCATAAAAGGTAGCTATTAAGGAGCAGGCAAGTTGTACAATAATAACTTTAAATTAAAAGCCCTTTCCCACCACTTCTGCTGTTGTGGGGTCTGCAGATTTTCCTTAAAACTTTTGAAACGTGCCTAGATTTCTTACAGGCAGCCATTTAACCTCCGTTTATGAAGAAATAAAGCAAAATTGATGTTGATTTTTGTCTACATTGGGGGATACTTTTGCAACATAAAAGCCCTTTTGCCTGCAATTTGCAGAGCAGCCTTGTCACATCGGTGAGGGCTGATACTGATAAAGATAAAGCTTTATAGCTGGGGCATTTGCAGCTAACAGCAAGCTAATGCTACATTTTCATTTTGATGCAATTAATGTTAATGTCTGCTACGAAAATTGTCATTAAATACCATTTTAAAATCCATTCAATTTGCATATGCAAAGCCCATTTACTATCATGTAAAATACACAGTGCCGTTCATCATGTCTTTTCTCTAGAATTTGTAGCTGTTATTTTTCTGGTAGTGATTATTATCCAGCTCTTAAAATGAAACCTAATGTCTGGTCCAGACCTGCACAGAGCAAGAAAACCGTCTTAGCTCCAGCAGCAGCAGCAGCAGCGCTGCTTGGAGCCCCTTTCAGAGGCTTTGAGCACTTGCTTGTGCTGGACTCACACTGGCTCTTCTGGACCGCTGTGCCCTCCAGCCTCCCTCGTCCTCCCGTGAAGGACAGGCAGCAGAAGGACCTAGAAGTCAGTCTAAGCCAGGTCCTGATGTTCTCCCCTGCAGACTCCCTGTTGCGCAATTCCCCATGAGAAATCAGCACAGCAGGCAGTTGGGAGCTGGTACGCGAGGGGGATGTTAAATGGGTCACTTCTAAATGCTGTACCTGTTTGAACCTCAGGCAGGGTTCACATATGCTGGATGCTTTATCAAAATCTTGTGAGATGCTGCGATGCAAAAGACCTAACTGCTGCATTGCAAGGGATGAACGGGCAAGCTTATGTCCTTCTAGAGGGGTTGCTGGGGAAGCAGCAGGTACCAGCACCCCTCCAGCCCTTGGGAGGGAGCCCAAGAAAGCAGCAGAGAGAGCAGTGAAAATCTGCTTTGCCTCCATCCTGCTGTACGACCAGTTTCTGCCCAATGCAGGGAGATGAACTAACAAGTAAGAGGGAGTGGGATAAAGAACTGATCCTTAGCTGCACCAAGCTATTTCAACCAGTGCAAACAGGTAGAAATGCTGCTGCTCTGATTTTCTGACTCTGGAAAGCCATTATTCTGGCTCACAACTCATGTCCTGTTAAGTTAACGGATTGGCATTGAATATATTTTCAAGAGGTTCCAAGCCCTTAGTGCCAGAGGTGTAATGGGGGTGTGTTGTGGCATGTATATCAGATTTAGGTAGTTGATTATCTGAAACACAGGTGCAATCAGACATGGAAGTGATGCTGTGACTCAGTTGCAGCATGTCCAGGTTCAGGAGACTTCTGTTGTGGGGAGTTGAGATGTTAGTTGAGATGGGGGGAAGATGCAGATATGTGGGTAGGAAGGGATAATCCCACTCTGCGAAGGGCCCCAAGCCTTCCCCCTTACCGTGATGTGATGCCGTAAGTGAAGTCGGCAGGCACTTTAGGAGGACATCTGTTGAAGCGGCTGTATTCATCATCTTTGCACCGAATGTCCTTGGCCTTGTAGTACAAATTAAATTCACGGGCTGTGGTATAACCGGCCTTCAGAGCACCACGGTTCATGGTGATGAAATCTCGGGGCATCTTCTGAACTGCAGCAGTCCTGGACTTTACTGTGTTCCAGTGGCCTATTGCTGGAGATGGAAGGAAATGCAAGAGGCAAAAAGATCAGGCATGTCAGGTAACTCGTATTTGGGAAGGAAGGCTGATGTTTGTGCACCATGCACAAGCCTTGCATGGCTTGTGTGCATTTTGCCATGTCTTCACTGTGGAGTGAACTTTGTGTCCGATCCCACTGCATTTCATATGGGGACATCTCCCATTTGAATCAGATGTCTTCTCACCCTCTGCCCTGGCTTGCTCAGCAAGTCTGATTTCACAGGGAAATTTTCCCTGAGAGCACAAAGTAGGAGCTCTAACAAAGTTGTGAAAGTGGCCGTGTGTATTGTCCTTTGCAGGCGCCATACCCCCTGCTGCTTGGGCTCTGTGTGATCCTATAAACGTTTCCAATATGATAGAGAAACCTTACTAGTCACCAAGCAATTTGGGTGATATTAATAAAAGTGGGTGAATGCTGGATTTCTCGCCTCCAGCTTGAATAAGAAGTACTGAAGTGCACTGGGAAGGAGAGGAGAGTCCCTACTAGCATTAGGACTTTGTTGCAGGTCTACATTTTACTGGTGTTATCATACCTTCAGGGACTCCTCCATCTGTCCTGTGGATATACAGCCCGTATGAAAAATCAAAGCCTGGCAGGGTGTAGCAGTTTCTCTGGGGCTTCCCCAGTTCTGCCTGCAGAAGAGTGAAGTTAAAGGAGAAGTGTAAAGACCTTTTCTGATAAGTTAAAATCCCTGAAAATAAAAATTTGTAACAGAACGTGGCCATGAGTACCAGGAGTGGCTCTGGCTCCACTTGGCACAGGTCGGAATCCCACTGTCCGGACACAAGTGAGGCAAACTCAGAGCCATGAGGCTTCACCAGAGCTGAAGCTTAAGGTATGCTGAATCTCAGACAAATATTTACCTGAGTTATAAAGTGACCTAGCCTTGCTGGAAATAGGGATCTTGGCTCAATATATTTGGACTTGAAGTGTCCCTGTTTGGTTTGTTTCTCCTTTAGCTGGGATGCCCAGCCATGGTGTCTGCTGGGGAGGCTCTGCAGCTAGTCTTCAATTTCCTTTCAGCTATTTCATTTCCAAGGTGTGCACCCTTCTAGAAAACTGGCGCAAACTTCCCCAAGCACAATCACGTCACCACTCCTGCCTGGGAACAATCAAGACCCAAGGCATATTGCAGGGGGAGGATAGGGGGGATGAAGAAGGGCGAGCAGAGCCTTGGGTTTATAGCACAGAAAAGAAGAGAACTTGAGCTAATAACCTCATTTTTATTTAGTTTTAAAATGAACTCTTCCCCAGCCCATGTGTGTCCCAGCCTGGTGGTGTCTGTGGGATTAACTGACCTCCCCTCACGCCCTTTGTCTCTATCCTCCCATCTCCATGGTGAAGTCACTGCAGGATGTGTGTGTCTTGAAACCTTATTGCTGCCTGAAAGGGAGGTGGTGGAGGAGGGAAGGGGCGAAAGCCTGGCAGCCTGGGCCTGTGTGTTCCTGCTAGGAGAAGACGGAGCAGGGTCAGACAACAAGCGCCCCGGAGCCCTAAGGCATGGTGTTGGGTGCTTTGGGACAGGTTCTTTTCCATGGGAAGGGTGTTGGGACAGCTGGGGGGTTGTAGGTGTTGGCAGGTCTTGTTGGGAGAATGGAAGTGCTGAAATCCTACTCTCATGCTTCTCATGGGTGAATCGTTGAACATTGGCGTTGAAATGACTATTATTACACTCCAGGGTGAACACTCTCTGGATCAGGAGATGCTGAATCAAACACAGCCCTTTCTGCAGGGACTGAGTGAAGAGAGTGAGATTGAAAATGAACTACCTCCAACTTGCCACTATCGCAAGTTGAGGCAGTACAGCAGTGGATAACAGACGCTGCTTACCAGAATGGCTTGTATAGGAATGTCTTCCTGACCTAAATTTATGGTCTGCTCCCAGTCAGTGCTGTGCAAACCCTGGCCAGGGCCTCGGAGCAGCTATGGCGCTCCTGTACGCTGCCAGCCTGGTGGCCCCTTTCCAACATGCTGTTCAATAGTACTCACCAAGTGTCCATGATGCTGCTGAGCAGCTTGAGCTGCTGCATCAGGCTCAGCTTGGGCAAAACTCTTGCTGAGCCAGTTTTGCCTGGAGAGCAAGGGTTAATAGCCCCCGCCCAAAACAGGCACCTTTCCAGGGGGCTCTGTATTGAGGTCTCTAGAATTTGCTTGTAATTCCTCAAACTTTTTTGCCTGGAGCCATTTTTTGTGCATTCAGTTTGGAGTTTCTCAGCTCCTGCCTCTATATGCAGCTACACAAAAATGTAGCCGTGGCACGGGGCTCCTCACCAGCGTGTCCAGGGGTGAGATTGTGCCCGCTTGCTCGAGCGCCTTGTCTGTGTTGTGGCAACAGGTCTGCTCCTTTGCAGATCCTGGCAAGCTGGCAGTCAGCTTTGCCACTTTGGGATCATCGCAAGCCCATACAGTGGTGCTTTCTGGTAAATCAAGGGTCTCACTTCCCAGATCTGGAAGTGCTTCATCTTGGTCCTGTTAAATCCATGCACTTGTAACGCTATAAAGCAGGTGTGGTATTCCCATGACTCTCAGGAGCACGAGTTCACCAGAAAACTAGTTTTCTGGACTCACTAAGAATCTTTGATAGGCTCAAAAAGCGCATCAGGCTCCTTTCCCTGTGCAAAGCTACAAATCCATTGTTGCAAACAGACCTTTTTTGAAAGCAATCGACTCAGCTACCTGATACAACCTGTGCATAACATGGCTGCATTCCCCAGCTGCCCCCCGTGAACCTCCAGCAGAGGAGGGGACCGTCCCTTGCAGATGTGTCCAGCACCAGGCACGATGGGAGCGAGGGGGCTTTTAGTGCTACTGCAACTGAAATATCACACGGCAGTGCGAAACCATATGTGCACGCTGCGTGTGAGTTAGGGAGCTCGCGCAAAGCGTATAAACCGGTGCCAGGGATGATAAAGTAGCTTTCATTGCCGATCTATTTCTCCTGTATTTACAGGCATTTTTATGCCGGCTATTTTTAGATTAGTTGTCACTGGTATACAAGGGAAATGGTGTAACGTTCCTCAGATGCCTGAGAAAAGGCTTTTTCCAGGGATCGTGTTCTGATCCTGGATCAGACAAGTGAGGTCAGAAATGTGCTATGATGGCAAAGGTGTGGCAAATGTGAGAAATTTGCTGAGAAACTGCAGGAAAGGAGAGAGGTTTGTAACCTGTGGCACAGCTGCTTCCAAACCTTTGAATGCAGAACTCTGTAGAATGGAAGAAATCACAGAATTTAAAGATTCCCTTTTGTAGAACACCTGAAGTTAACAACAGTTGGGTATTTACTCTGTCACAAAATGAGTGCATGCTGCTGCTTTTTATGATCGGGTGGCATTTTACAGTCACTTTGCACTGAATAAATAAAGCTGAAGGTGCTGGATAATTAATTAAAAAAAAAAATCTGGTCCAATATGTTGAACATGGAGAGAACCTGTGCCTGAAGAAAATCAATGGACTCAGAGGACTCTGGTTGCCTGCCAACATCTT